AAAATGTTCTGTCCTTACATTTTTCTCTTTAAACTGTTTACTGAGTTCCTTTGTTATTTTTCTGTCTTTTAGTTCTAGAATTCTAACTTACTTTTCAAATTTAGATTTTCACCTTTTGCACTTTCTAGTTCTGCCAAAATGTTTAACCCTTGGGTTTCTATTCATTCCACCCTATAGTTTAATGGCGATTCATCATGAATTTAATATCTTTAAAAATCTTTCCTGGTCATTTTCTGTTTCAATTTCTGTTGGTACTTATTCATCATATCTTATTACCTTGTGTATCTGGCTGTTTTTGATTAAGTGCTGCACACTGTAAATGGAAAATTATCTGTAGCAATATTGGGAGGCCTTTGTCGATGGTGTCTTCCTGCAGAGACTTCCCTCCCCCTCTTCACTTCCCGCCCCTTCAAGTAGACAACTTGGTGGCACTATCAGTCTGCATGTGGGACCACTGCAATCCACTTCTGTCACACCGATGACATAAAGTTGTAAGTCCAGTCTGTCCACGGCAACTTCCTTTCTGGTTACCTTTATCCTGGGAGTGTAGCCCTTGGGGGGTTTGGCTTTAAGAGTGGTAGCTTGTCAGCGTTGTCCTCCTCTTGAAACACTCTTGTCTTTGACTTTTTAGTCTCTGGGTTTGTAGAGGTTTCAAGAGCAAGTCTGTTTTCCTCCTACTTTCCCCCTGGTTCTTTTGGTGCCTGAGGGTTAAAACAATCTTCTGTGGTTTGGATGACCTCTGGGTTATGTTCTTTTGCCTTGATTTCAGCCAGGTAATTCTTCAGACTTTGGTATTTTTTTTTTAGGATTTTTTTTATCAATTATTCCTTCCAACATTTGTCCAAAAGGTACATTTCATTCCAAGTTATTTAATTACTTGAAGCTAAAGAGTTTTTGTCTTTAAAAAATTCAATCAGTGTTATTCATCCAAAATTGCAGTTAAATCCAATTTGGCATGCATTCCCCCCCCCCCCTATGAATACTGGTAGTTAAAAGACTGTTCTTGACACCTGTGTTATATATTTACTCACACATTTAAATTCTGATTCCCAGTTTGTATTACTCAATTTTTATTTCCACAGAGGATAAGTGGGACCAAATGTTCTTTACATGTAACTCATGTACAGAACTTTTGGGGTGCTGGGAGTTGATTTAATTTTTATCTCTTTCCTTTGAAAAGAGCCATATTGGCAGAGAGTAGAGTATTTTGGTGTTTCCTGGATGTTCTTCCAAATCAGCCATAGAAAATGAAAGAATGATTCATTCTCAGAAATACTCAGAGCATCTTTTACCTGGAATGTAGCTAGCATAGCTCTTTGTAGGGTGGCTATACTTGCTATTGGTATTTTACCACAAATGTTATCTTTTTAGAGAGGCCTCGCTGTCTAAGTAAACTCTCTTTCCCCCCTTCATAACCTGTGTCAGTATTTGATAATAATCGTATTTGTTTTTCCTCCATCAGCAAAATGTGAAGGCCCCTCAGGGCAAGAACCTCAGGAGCTTGTTCACCACTGCTTTGGGTCCTATTTACCCTTTCCTTGAAACATGTTAGGCATTCTAAATTATTTGTTTAATAAATGAATAACGAGAACAAATATAACTTCTTCCAAAACTGTGACATCATTTTCTTGCAATTGTCACAGTAATCCTTTAAAACCTTGTGATTCCATTGAATTATGTTTTCTAAACTCAGTGTAGTGTCTGCTTTCTCTTGCCTTCCTTTCTGCAAAAATATTTTGTGTAAATGTTGAATGAAAAATGAGATAAGAATCTGACCTAAAGTAAACGGTAGAGTGACTAAGAAATACTTAGCATTAGGATAGCTATGACTTTCTTGTTACATATTGAATTGAAAGAGGAGGCCCACGTGGCTGGAGGGAAACCAGCCAAGAGAATAGTCTGTGATGGTGCAGCAGTTGGGAGGTTAAGGCCTGTGGCTCCTGTGGACTTGGACTTGCACTCTTGATGATAATGGAAGACCATTGGAAGTTTTGAGCAGAGACGTGACATGATCTGACTTATCCTAAAGACTCTGTTGAGGACTGTCTGAAGCAGGACATAAATGGGACCTGTAAGGATATTGTCTACTTCTGGATTCTCACATCAGTTACACAGGTTGATTTGTCTCTGTGTCCAAACCACCCTGTCTAAATTTCCAAATTGCCACTCTAAGCACCAATATATTTGATAAGGCATCCTGCCAGGCCTACCCTCAAGGTCAAGCCTTCTTATTTTTGTTACTCAGGAGAGACTGTATTTTAGAATCAGCTTGTCTTAATTCCTCAGAAAACCCTGTTGGTTTTGGATTTTGATCGGAACTACAAAGTCTCTGTAGATAAATATGGAGAGAATTGATCTTTGTATAGTATAGACTCTTACTAGCCTTAAAATAAATAACTATTTATTTAGATCTTCTTTAATGTCTTTGAAGAAACGTATATACATAATTGAATAGAAGTTTTGAATATCTTTTATTGTATTAAATACTGTCTTTTTTGCTGTAAATATTTTTAAAAATTACATTTCCTATTTGGTATTTATGTTTACAAATACAGTTGATATTTGTATATTAAGTGTGTATTCAGCTACATTGTTAAAACTTATAATTCTAATAATTTGTAAATTGTTTTGAGTTTCTATGTAGATAATAATATCTGTAAATTTTATTTTGCTTTCTTCTTTCCAATCCTATACATTTTATTTATTCTTATTTTACTGAGGTGACTGGAACTTACCACAATGTTTAATTAATAATGCTAATAAATATTAATAGTAGGATCTTATTTTTCAAATGTTTCAAATTTTATAGGCCGCAAAGAAAATTTGATTTTACTGGTTTTGATTTATTTCTTCCCTTTAAACCAATACTTAGTGTTGGTACAGCTGTTCTTCTCACAGACAGGATGGGCTTTTAGAAACAAAAGAACTTATTTTGAAATAATTTCAGATGTAGAAAAAAGCAAAGATCATATAAAATATTTCCTGTTTTATAACCCCTTGGCCAAGACTTGTCAAATGTTACAGTTTACCATATTTGCTTTATCATTCCTCTTTTTCTCATATGCATTTTTTTTTCTGAATAGTTTATGTGACAAACTTTATCTCTATAAAAACTTTGGTGTTCTTTCCTTTTTTCTACAGTTTTTTTTACTTTTTATTAGACTGTCTTGTAGAGATTCTGAACTGTGCCTTATATATTTAATCATTTTATTTATTTTATTGAAATAAATCAGCATATAACATTATATTAGTTCCAAGTATACAATAAGGATTTGATGTTTGTTTACATTCCAAAATGAACACAATAAGTCTAGTAAACATCACAGCAGATAGTTACAATTTTTCTCTTGTGATAAGAGCTTTTATAATCTACTCTTTTAGCAACTTTCAAATATATAACACATTATTGATTATAGTTGCTGTGCTTTGCATTTCACCCCCAGTACTTACAACTTTCATTCATTCTGCCATATTAAGAGTTTTGTTTTATGTAATCTGTACTGTTATATCAAATTTTTTTTAAAATCACTGATTATTTTTACCTATTGTTATATAATTTAAAGGCATTTAAATTTTATCAGTTACCGTTTATAGCAAAAAAGGTTTTTTTTTTTATTCAGTTTCCCAGCCCAGATCATGCATTATATATAGTGCTTCTTTTCTGAAACAGTTCCTCAGTGGTTCCTTGTCATTCGTGACCTAGATAATTTTAAAGGCCAGTTATTTAGCAGAATGTCCCCTAATTTGGGCTTGTCTGTTGCTGCCTATGGTTAGATGTTTGATGCATCCTATGAGGAGGCATATGATGTTGACTTTTCCTGTGATTGAAAATAACTTTGAGCACGTAATTGATGTGGTGTCTGGCAGGATTCCTCTCTATGAGATTGCTATTTTTCCCTTTGTAATTAATAGCTATCATGAAGGGAGCTACTTTGAGATTAGATAATATGCTATTTTCCATCAAAGTTCCAATCACTATTTTAGCGTATATTAATACTTGCCTGACATAGTTATTATCAGACTGGTTGCAAATAGTGATTTTTAAAATTCCATCACTACATTTATTACTTGAAATTGTGCTCTAGGAAAGTGTTTTTCCTTCTCCATCAATTTATATATGTCAGTAAGGATTGGTACTTTTTTTTTTTTTATTCTAGGGTTCAAATGTTTCTCATTTGACTGGTTGGAGTCTCTTCAAGCTGACTCATGCATTTCAGACTTGGTCCCCATCTTCTTTGAGCATTTCCTTCTTTCTAGCACCACAAAAATAGCAATAATCGCGCCTTGGATAAACCTCATTGGCTACAATACCACCACTGCACAAAGCTTAGCACCACAAAAATATATTCTAGACTCATCTTGCACCTTGCCTGTATAGTCTGGGAATCAGCCATGGTTCCAGTTTTGGCACATGAACTGCCAGTGACTGTTGGAGTTGAGCTACTACTTGAGCTGGGGAATACACATATGTGTGTATGTGTGTTTGCACACACACAGACACACACACACACACTCACACACACACCCCTATTTCTACGTGTCTCTATATTAAGAACTGAGCTTACTTGTTTAACTCTAGTTCCAGGGCTTCCCCCTTTTCACATTTATAGCATTCTTTTATGACAATAAGAAACCAAGTTCTCATTCTCTACAATATATTTAACCCTAGAATAGGTACTAAGAAGTTTCAAATCTCTGTGTAAAAAGAAAAATCTTGGTAGAGCATAATATTTGTTTATATAGTTCAGATACTATTTTCAAAAGTTGCCCAGGATTAATTCTTTTGCTCCTGACCCTCTTCATGTGGTTATTATGTTGGATTCATTTCAAATACAGTTGGGTGCATCTGTTCATTTGTATTCAGTTTTGGGTTCTTCCCTTCTATCATTATTTCTTTTTCTTCTTTTTTGAAAACATTAAAAACTGTATACAAAGGTGGGGTGTTATTAGAGTCCTTATATATAAAACTTAATGACTTTTAATTGTGTTTGTTCTTTCAGGGAATCATTTAATACTTCACGTTAGAAAAAATATGTGAAGTTCCCGCCAACCTGTGAGAATTTCTTCTTTTGGACATTTTTGTTCTATTTACTACACAACTTTTTCAGAAGTTCTTTTTGGATGCCATGTTCTGTGGCTTGCATCAAAAGAGGAGTTTGTCTTCATGAAGATTCCTAACATTGGTAATGTGATGAATAAATTTGAGATCCTTGGGGTTGTAGGTGAAGGTAAGTCTAGCCTTTCTTGAGTTTTTTGAATAGTATAGTTACACCTACCACCAAAAAGTTACTAGTTTGGATTCTATTAATTTAACATACATATCAATTCAAATATATGCCTCAGAGTAAAATATTAAAAATATAATTACTCAAACTATTTAAGTCTTACTCTCCAATTGAAAGTCAGTAACCTTTTAAAGCCCTTTAAAGTTCAATTAATCGGGTTTCTTAAGGGTAACTTCCTTTCATTTTTTTTATTAGCCTACGAATTTGAGGTTACAGTTTGTTTGTAAATCATCAAGGCTTCTTTTGAATAACTTAAAATTTATTAGTATAAGTTAAATTTTACATAATGGATGAATAAATAACTTGTCTTTGAGAATGGCAAACTATGTTATAAATTCCAAGGCACATAATTTGGTCATATTTTAATAACTCCAAAATCAGGATGTGTTAACAATGCTATGGTTTAATTGGCAGCACTGTTTTTCTTAGAGTATGTAAAGTAATGCTTATGATCAACAACACTACTGATTTGATGAAATGCAGCAATTTGTTTTTCTTAAGTCTTCTTGATTTTTCATTCTCAGTAATTTTTTATCTTAAGGATAACTTTTTGGAGATAAGTGATAAGTGAAGAATTCTGCTAACATGGGATAAGTGATTATAATTATGGTTTATTTTACTAAGATCTTTAAAGCAAATGTAAAAATTTCATTATCTTGGAAATTTCAAATTCCAAATTTTCAAAGTTTTAAATTTTAGAAATTTATAAATTTACCTATGTGAACAACAAAGATATCCCAGATTTTAATATTACGTTGTTCAATCCTTTTCAAATAAATAAAACAACTAAAATATAGTCGAGTCATTGGGTGCTTGCTTCAAAGTCTGGAGTTGAAGTCATATAGAAAGAATAACCCTTCTCACCAGTCAACGCCTTTTCCTTTTCTTCATTGCTTTTAATTATATAACTAAAATTCATTCTCAATGTCTTATTTGCTATCTGTTTTATAGCAGCTGTCTTTTCTATTTTTTGGTTTTTGGTTTCAAAAGTATTGCAATTAGGGACATGTACAATAAAACTACTGACTAGAGATGGTCAACTCACAGGGTATGATGAGGTTGGAATGGTCCACATTCTGGGCCTAAGATTTTCTGGACATTACCTTGTTTTTCTTAGTGTACCCATTGGTGATTATCTTCTCAGGGATCAGCTCAGATTAACTAAAATTACCGAACTGTTATATAAATCAGAATGTCAGTTTAAGTTGTAGTCAGAGTCATTGCTGTAGCTTTTTCTTTGTAAACTGCCTCAAATGCTTTTTTGGCTAAGAAATGCATATATACTGAGGAAATTAAAAACTGTCAAGAAAGCTCTACATTCCTGTAGCCTAGATTGTTCATTTTCACCCCCAGAGTTAAGTGAAGATTGGATAGTTGCCTGGTGATAGTGGAGTTAAATTGGGTGGCTATAATAACTGGTTCTGTCCTAACTGTAATAAAGCTCTATCTCCACGCAAGTGAGGGAGACTTGTTCTGGTTCCCTAGATCTGTTGGAGACTCATTTCCCAGTTTTAGCTTCCCAAAGTCCCCGTCTCGTAGATGCAGGAAGGTTTTGCCTATCTATTAATGTCAGTGTTTTTGACATTTCTACAAACCTCAGTTATCACACATCACATTTTGATTCTCCTGTTTATATCTTTCACTGTTAACTTTAACCTCAGTTTCCTGGGTACCTGTCAGCAGTGTGTCTGCCTCTGTAAGTAGTTATTGGCTAGATGATGAGATTAAGTAACCCAAAAGGTAATGATTAATCTTGTCGAAATACACTAAAGAAAAAGGGGGTGCTTAGCTGTGAATGGCCAGAGTGTCTGGGATGATTGTGTGTGACCTGTCCCCTTGAATTGAGTCTTTATGGCAAAAATATTTATGGCTCCTATTAATTATTAATTGGAATGCTGAGGCCGGTGCTATTTTGCCAGTCAGGGAACACATTCCAGTGTCTTAGAGGAGGATTTCCTTGTCTCCTAGGACACAACATATTAGGTAGGTTCCGTGCTTTGAGCTTACACTGGTAAATCATTAGCCTTAAATTTTAAGTTACTTAGAATCTTTTGAGTTAATTTGCAGTTATTCTTAGAGTTCTTATGTCCAGATACTGTCTCCAGAAAATTTTAAGCTTATATTAAAAAATCTCAAGTGAAATTTTCCTTAAAAAGAGAAACATTTAAAAATACTTGATAGAAATGGGTTGCTTCTATTTTAGGCTCATAAAAGATAATATAAATATCTATGCTCTGTATTATCACTGCAGAATATCATCATTTTAGGAATCATTATTGTAATGTATACTGATAACCAATGTAAATATAGTAGAATTTTGATTTCTCCAAAAGCTATAGTTTGTTTACATGCCTCTAAGTGTTTACTTCTTTTTATTATAGGAGCCTATGGAGTTGTACTTAAATGCAGACACAAGGTAAGTACCTGGTTTTTAAAAAGAAAACATTTGTAAATGTTTAAAAGTTTTAAAACTAATGTAGTGTTCCGTGCATGTGGGCATATAATTAAAACTGGTTGTGGTGATGATGATGATGATGATGATGATGATGATGATGCTTAATGAGGTAGAATTAATATGTGAACCCAGATTTTGGATATGTTTTATCATGATGATTAGGTAATCATTAGCTCTTTGCAGTCACTTGCTGTTTTTTTAACCTGCGTATATACAGGCAAAAACCTGCCAAATAGGAAGAGAGAAAAGATTGTAGTGAAAAAACCCGAGGTAGTGAGATTTATTTTATATTCAAGTATTTACGGTCAAGAAAATAATTTAGTCATTATTTTCAAGTAGACTCAATAACATAGGTTGCTTGATGGACTTCTATCCAAATTTTGAAGGGTAGTGGATAGGTGTTTGGTTATGAAATAAGGATTGGGAAAATAGTGCATGATTGTCATTATTGGCTATAGTTGATCGGCTTCAGACAGTCTTGAAATGAATCTTGTTATTTGACTATAATAATAACCACTGATTATTCAGGGAAATCATTTCAAGTTTCCATAGCTATTGCACAGTGGCGAGCATGTTTTACTCAGTCTTTAAAATGGCAAGTAGATAAGCTGTAACAATTTTAAACATTAGTTTAAATATTTTTCTTTTATGGCCCTCAGGCTATTTTGTATATCATTTGTTTAGACCAATGGCTTAAGGGTTTTTTTTGGTTATTTTACAGTGGTATGATTTAGAATATCTGAGATGAGTTTAGCAATTTAGCCCAAAACACTTAAACTCTTATATGTGTGCATATATGTATGCATTCGGGCATATATGTATCTATATATGTAAATAGAGGTGACATAATTTGTATGGGTTTTTTTGGTACAAAATATGGACATTTTGGACTTAAGGCTTCATGATAGTTGATGTATTTTTGGGTTTTAGATCAGAAATCGCTTACTTTAATTCAATGAATTTTCTTGAAATTGGATGTTGGAATTATTTTATGTTGATAATAGTTATCTGAAGATCTCTGCCAATAAATCCTCAGAAAATGGTACAATTCTTTTTCATTTTTGATTCTGGATGATTAAGAATTTAAAATAATAAATAAAAAGATAAATTTAGCACCTTGAATACATCCTTAAGAAATACTATCATAGTTTGAAATTAAATAAATAAATTTTTAAAAATTAAATAAATGGGAAGCTCCCTAATGGTTGCCTTGAATTAGAGTAAATTTCTTAAGTTTTAAAATAATAGCATTCCCAAGTGGATACTGCTCTAGAGAAGTGGTTGTTAGTTCCCAGGTTAAAGTTGTCTCTTTCATGAACATTGTACCTCCTCTTGTACTATGATTCTCTTTTATCTTTCCATGTGTTTGATTTACTTGTTTGTTAAAATATGCATGTTAACCTATACTTGGTTCTCAAAATCACACTGTTAGTGCAAGCAAGATGGGCCCAGAGTGAAAAGGGATGAGACTAGGCCTCTGTTCTTAGGAAACCAACTCTAAATGTGACCTCTGATTCCTTGTGGCTCATGTATAGAGCACTTTGAGTTACAAGGATGAGTGAACCATAGTTTCTTGCCTTTCGGTGGTTTATGGACTGTCTTAAGAAAGAAGAATAAAGACTTTAAAAAATAACCGAGAGGGTGCTACAAATAAGATTGCATCTAAAAATTACCTCTTTACTGCCTTTATGAAATGAGGGACTCATAGACCAGCTCTCTAAGTAGCCTTACTTTTTCCTTTCATGAATATGGAAAGAGAGCACTGGATGGAAAATTTAAAGCATAAATTAGTGCCTAACTCTGAGTATTATAAAACTCTGTTTAGAATCTGCAGCTGTTTAGTCATGAGACTTGTTACAGTATATCCTTTTCTCAGCTAGAATCAGACCTTCAAATCTTTACCCTGCTAACCAAAAATAGGGAATTTGAGACTTCTGGTAAGATTTATCCTTTAGGATCAAACAGCTGTATTATTATGAAATCTCATGTTATAGTTGAAAATGGATATAATCCTCCCTATTGTGTCCATTATATGCAAAATAATCATTCCTATATGTTTTGTATATCTTTCACAAATTTAATGAAATGCTTATAAAAATATATAAATCAGGCCTGCATGATTACTTATACAGAGGTTTGTGTAATCACTTAAGCATAAGTTTTATCTCTTTTTGAGAAAGTTGACTCTGGATATGTATATATAATGAAATTCCTACCATATTCTAGATTTGAACACATATGAATGAAAGTCACTGTTTTAATCTGTGTACTGTTGCAAGAAATTTAGCAGTCATATTTGTGAACAGATATATCTTTTGTGAACACCATGTGATGTTGAGCTATTTTAGGCCAAAGGACATACTTCTTAATTTACTGAAATAAAGGCTGCCCAATTAAGAAAGAAAAATATAACTGTAATCTCTTTTTGACAGCTTCTGTTTATTGTTATATAAACATATTGGCATGTATATGAAATTCTTAGCCATGACCGTGAAGTTCTTTATGGCTCCTATGACTATTCACTTTTGGAAATACTAGCTTGAACTTTTACCCTGTAGACAAGCATTGTTGATTATATTTTGTGTGTCTGCTTTGAAGTGCCTATAGAAGGGAGGCGGTTTTCTTTGCAGAAGCCCAAAGAGGTCATCCTCACAACAAAGAAGGGAGAATGGAATAGGGTTGAAATAGGGAGATACAATTAGAACTTGAGGCAAGAGAGGTGAGAGGTTGGAGGGGATGCTAATTGAGCCCAGGACAGAGACAATGTCCCTTTCCTGTGGCTGGGATTGACATGTGAGAAGGTTTTGTTTTGAACTAGCAGGTGACATATACTCTTGAAATAGCAAATTCTATAAAGCCATAAATAATCCAGTATCAGGGTACAGCCTGTCAGTGTTCAATAAATAATAAAATTGACTGAAATCGCAGAACCAAAAATGAAAGGCACGCTAGAGAGCTGTTGCAGAGTAGCAAGTTCCTTCAGAGGCCTATACCGCTGGTCAGGAGGCATTGCCAGTCGAATAGTATGAGGGAGTGGTGGTCAGGTGGTGGTGCAGGAGGATCAGAAGCAAAGGTCTTCCCACGCAAGAGTCTCCAATGACTGTATGTCCAAATCCCTTTTCTCCGCATCCTCTGCAATACTTGTTGTTGGAGTTCTTTTGAATATGTGCCATTTTCACAGGTATGACACGCTATCTCATTATGGCATTAACCTGAATTTCTCTTACGGAAGTGGTAATATTTTTTCATGTCTATTGGCCCTCTGAGTATCTTCTTTGGTGAATTGTCTGTTCATATCTGCTGCCTTTTTATTAATTGAGTTGCTTTTTTTTAATTGTTGATTTTGTGTGCTTTTTAATATATCTTGTATATTAATACCTTATCCATTATATATTGTGTGAATATTTTCTCCCATTCAATAGTGTGTTTTTAATTGTCTTATATTTTCTTTTGCCATATAAAAGCTTAGTCACCAAAAATATTGATATTGTTGATATCATGGGACATATTGCCAATGTTTTCTTCTATGTATTTTCTTTTTTTTTTTTTAATATCTAGTTGTGAGTATATGGAGTGTGCAAGCATGCTGTTGCCATCTTGATGGATTTTAGGTTAATTTGGCTAGGGGCTGGGCTGTGTTTAATACTTTATATGTAGGTGTTGTTTCCAGAAATGTCAGTTTCCACTTGTGTCTTTATTTTTTTTTTAAGTATAAATAAACAATTTTATTATACAAACTAATTTATTTGACACATTAAATTAAGCAAAGAAAAATATATGTAACTGCATAAAAAGAATCACATTCTCATACTACTTGAACATACTAGCAGTGGTCAAAATAATGAATTGTGGAATGGATCCCAGCATTTAATGCAAAAACACCCTGTACAGAAAAATTTCATGCTTCTGACTTCACTGAGTCCAGTACTGAACATGCTTCTTTATATTCCTCAGCCTCTTCCTCTTCCAAGTCTTTTTCATTCTCTAATATCTGCAGAAGATCGGCATATGCAGCTTCCAACCTGCTCTGGCAATCTGGGATCATCATTCGGGCCTCTTGCAGGATCTCTGCCTGCTTTTTTATGGCATAATTTTCACCATCTTCATTTTTCATTTTTTCAATCTTTTCTTATTGTTGTTTTGCTTCTTTTTCATACATCACTTTTTATTTTACCAATCGCTTCACCACACTGGTTTTGATCTTGATCTGCCTCACGTGGGGATGGGCCATGGTCTCTCGAGCACCGTGGGAAGGAGGGGCGGAGAGCTTAGGAACCCGGGAGCGAGGCGGCCCCGTGGAGGCAGTTTTGTCCGCGTTTGTGTCTTTATTTTTTGTTTATTTTTGTCTCCCATTGTCTTTGGATTTTCCTAAGAACTATTTTTTAAATAGAGTCTGTTTCTCCCAACTTTTTCAAGTTGTAACCCACTGTAATTGTATGGGCGCCCTAGTGACACAGGGGAGGGGAAATGTCCTATAGTCAAAGACTAAATCCCAGTTCTTTGGTATTCCTGATCCTCGGCTTCAGTCTTCAAAAGTATTTCTTATCCTTTCCTCCCACTGTTTTAGGACAGCCCCGATATTGAACGGGTTCCTGGTTGTGGGTCCTCACCCGCGCGCTTAAAAGGGACTTATGAATACTCCACTACAGGCACACACAAAAGGTTAATAAAAGGTTTATTTACAAGGGAAAAAGAAAGAAGGAAAATGTACAACTCAGGGAGAAAATAGGGAAATAAAGTCTTTCATGCGTCCTACCCGATCCGCTGACCTGGAAACCCAAAGTCACTCTCAGAGCTGGCCGGACGCGCTGCGAGCTGGTGGAGAGCCAAAATGGGGTCCCCCCAAAGCCCACGTGTCTGCCTTTTATATCCACCTGGCTGCTTAACCCCACCCTCAGGTCCCAGCCACCTTCCCTTGGGTGGGGATGGGATTTGGAGTTCCCAGTGTCTTTGGCTTGGGC